AAATTCTAGATATTGATACTTTGTCTAATGTATAGCTACTAAACATTTTTTCCCTATTTTGTAGGCTATCTCTTCACTCTAATAATTGCCTTTTTGCTGTGAAGTTTTTTTTTGAATATTTTATTTATTATTTTTATTTTATGTTTTTATGTGTATGAGTGTATTGCTTGCATGTATGTGAGTGCACCTGTGTCATGCAATGTCACAGAGGTCAGAAGAGGGCTTCAGATTCCCCTGGAACTGGAGTTAAGGACGATTTGTAGCCGCCATGTGGGTGCTGGGAATCGAACCCGGGTCCTCTGCAAGAGCAGTCAGTGCTCTTAACCACTGAGCCCCATGCTGTGAAGTTTTTAATGTCCTACAATTCTATTTTTAAATTAATGTTACGATATCCCGAGCTACTGGAGTCCTTTCAGAAAGTCTTTTTCTATGCCTATGTCTTATTTTATTTATGTTTTCACCTAGAACTTTCAGGTCTTACATAATAGTACTTGATCCATTTGGAACTTTTTTATAAAGGTTAGGAGACAGGCATCTGGATTCATTTTTTACATAGGTGATATTCAGTTTGTCCAAAGATCACTTATTGAAGAAGTTATCTTTTCCCCAATGCATCTTTTTGGCATAGAAAATAGGGTGGCTCTAGCTCCATGTGTTTATTTGGGGGTTCTCTATTATCTTCGATCACCCCGCGTGACTTTTTCTGTGCCAGTGCCCTTGTATTTTTATTACTATGACACTGTAGTACGACGTAAAATCATACATGGTGATATCTTTGATACTGATTTTTTGCCCAGGCAATGTCACTCAAACACTGAAGTGATTTTCTAGTTCTCTGGTATCAAGCCCTCATCCTTCTTTCTTGTGTGTATGCTCTCCCCTCATCTAATACATCGTCTTCTGAATAAAACTTTTGTTTGATGACTGTCTTTGTCTATCTACCACTTCCTTTATTGATGAGAAGAACCTAGATCAAAGAGTATGACCTCTCTGGTCGACCTCATCTCCAACAATAATATTTTTTTTCTTCTTCTTATTCCTTTTTATTTTTTTGAGAGGTTACATTTAGGAATAAATCCAAGACTTTATATGTCAGTGTAAAATAATGATTGTCCTTTTAGAAACAACTGGAAAATACTTAATTCTGATCATATCTCAAGAAATAAAATATGGATGACCATGAACAACAAACACAGATTGAAGTTATCCTGAATGACATATTTCTTCATGGAAGAGGTGATACGTGTTTTAGAGTCACAGAACTAAAAGAAATTATTAGGTAACACATTTTCTTATTGTATGGGTGGGAATA